GTAATAAGATCTCCTCTTTCTTTTCTTTTATAACTGAACAAACTCAGTTTCTGTAGCCTCTCCTTGTAGTATCACGTGTTCCAGCCCTCTGATCATCTTGATTGCTCCTTCCATTGGACTTATTCCTCCATTCTCAACTAGTGGGACAGTTACTAAAACCTTGTGTGTTGCATAAAATGGTACCAATCCAGGGGCTGTGGGAAGGGGAGTGTAGCGCTGAACTCTGTGAAGCAAATGTACTGTGAAGGGGTGCCTGATAGGTCATCCAGCAGCCCTCAGGCAGGATGGACACCCTTGTCTGGTATGGAGGCACTCCAGGGCAGCTGCTCTGACCAGATTCTTCTCGATAGTCCATGAGGAGGGTTTAATGTTTGATATCAGATTTACTGTTTTGAAGATACTTGGTACAACATAGTGTTATGTTTTGATTTAGCAGAGGCATACTGCAATATGCTGAAATCACAACACAAGCGTGATATAGCAGTTGAAATATATGTTTGGATTACCATGCAAAATTATTCCCATTGCTGATCTCTGTACGCCCACTGTCAGGATGGTGGGCGTCCCGAGATGACCAGGAAGGAATATATGGGCTAAAACCATCTCAAGTCCATTGCTCTCTTGAGATCTTCTTCTGTTGGTTTTTCAGTTCTATACTTTGTGAGACTGAGCTATGTCACATATAGACTTCTCCACCTGCTGGCCTGGCTAGCTGGGGAAGACCTTATATGCTATTAATGCTACTAATTATTTTAGAGAAGGCTGTTTACACAACCTGATGACTTACTGGTACAGCCATATATCTAAAGCAAAAGCTACCCTCAATCCCCTTTGAGATATGTTCTACTTTCTTTATGCCACTTTATGCTCATTCTTACATTTCTTCCCTTAGTTCATCACCCTTGCCCATCTCCTCTGAGCGTTCTTTCATTGTAGGAGTTTATTCATTGGTCACACAGGCTGTATCTTCCTGAGACTGTTGTAAATGTGTTCCCTGTGAACTGATGGGACACAGGTGGCTGGAGAGATGACTGCCTGTACCAACTGCTCGTCACCTCGGAGTTCAATGCACATATATGTTGAGTCAATGAAAGCCAATATGTCCAGAGGAGATAAGCAGGGAAGAGTCTTCAGAGGCTCATAGGGGTTAAATCATCTGCTTTAGGAGATCTAGCAGTCATTCATCACCACAGTTTTGACACAAAAAAAGAGAATACGTAATTTCTTATTTGCCATCTGTAATAATAATCTGTTCAGTTTATTTGATTATAAAAACAACAAATGCTGTGATGAGGATACATTTTCATAGAATAAACAATTGAAGATTTTTTTTTTCACCTCTGCATTTCTTGCAATACAAAGCAGTATTCAAGTAATTTTGATCTTTTAAGGAAGGTTATGATACCCTCTACTGGCTATTTTTGGAAATAAATCTAAGCTATAGCCAACCAGTTTAGAGCTAGCTGCAGTTAAACCTAATCTGCACTGCGGTTTTAATGTAGGGGTTTTGTTTGGTTTTGTTTGTTTGTTCGTTTGGGTTGGGTTGTTGTTTTTTTGTTGTTTTTTTTTTTTTTTTTTTTTTTTTTAAATGGATTTGAGAGGAGTTTGGTTTGTTTTGGTAGTTTTTCCCTGTCTAATTCTGTCCCTGGCTTCAACAGAATGAATCTGTCTGTGATGGAGCTGTATTTTTGAACACAGGTTGTTATGGCTTTGAGGCCAGCAGTTCTATAGGTACAAATAAAAGTTAACTAGATGTTGTCACAGCTCTCGTTGCCTAGTAACCAAAGCCCAATGTATAATTGAATGGAATAAATTTGATGCATTTTGCCTCTCTTTTCCTTTTTAGTTGCAGAATATACAAATATTTTTTGGATTTAAATGTTTTATTGTCTGATAACTAAAATGTATTGAAATCTGGAACTTTGCAAACTCAATTACAATGCTTTAAGAGCTGACGTAAATTTCCCTTAATGAAGAGTGATCTTCTAGTTCTTGTAACATTGCTTTACTCTTCATATGAACAAGTATGAATGAGCAAGTGTGCCAGTGGAACTGTGCATACAAATATTAAATTATTTTCTGCATGCCATTCTCAAATTTCACCTTTCCATTTTGTATAATAATGATTTGATGATGATTTTATGTATCTTTCTACTGGATCCATTTATGCAGTCAAGGATTGTCCTCAGAGTTATTTGCTCAACTATGCTGATAACATGCCGAAAATTATCTAGGACTGTCCTTGAATTAGTTACTGAATTTGTGAACACTGTGTGCTGCACTGGGACAAGTTGTGTAAACAAATATTTGTACTAGATTTCTGGCCTTGATTTTTGCTCTGTAAGGTCATGATTATAACTTAACATAGCATTAACTATCAAATTAATTATCCACTCACTGTTACAACTAATCATCTATTACAAGTTCTTGTAATAGAAATTGTATACTAATATTATCTTCACACTTATATAAACATATGCTAAAATGAAGTTTACGTTCACTGTACTGTTTCAGCTTTGTCACTGATAACCTTTTAAGCTTTCTAAATTTGTTTTGAATTGTGAGACTATGACATTTATGCCTCTTACATACAGATCTTCTCCACTTACTTTGTTAGACTTTGATATTTTCAAGCATTACCTATGGTTTGAACTAATTTTTAGTTATGTTGCTTAGCAGTAGTCTGTGTATCTCAATGCAATTACATTGTCTTTTCTTCATTTCTCTTTCATTAATGGTTGATATTCAAAGCAAACTCTTGTTATATGTATGATCCTTCCTTTTTGCTGTCTGTATTGATTGCCAAATGTGTAAAAAAAGTGATACTATATAATTAGGGTTTAACATCTTGAGGAACAGAAAGATTGTTTTCAAGCAGGCTTCATATATGGCACACTCAAGGGAGAGGAATGGCCATAAATAGTTGAAGTGGGACCAAAAAATTAAGTTTAAAGCAGGCATTAACTCTACAAGGTTGTATCACCCGAAGTTCTTTTTGTTTTAGTTTTGGGTCATAGTTTTTAGTTTTATTAAAAAAAATAATTCTAAAGATTAAACAGTAATTTGTTAGAAGCCAAGTAGATGGATGCTTACAGAGGTGATGACAAATATTTGATTCTACAGACAGTTACTAAGATTAAAATTTCTTTCAAAGAGCAATAAAATAGAAGTATATTCTGCAGCTTTTATGCAGTAAATGTTAGACAGGTTTCTAAATTGGTTTATTCTGTTCTTCCAACTCTCTTTTTATTTTTCCAGTTTTCTTGTTTGAGTCTCTTTAATTCTATGCAAGTACTGGTTTAAATGAAAAGCAAACATTAGCAAGGGTACTGCAGCCAGTGTCTTTGGTGTGTTTTTTGCTTGCTTGTTATTGATGCAGCCCTAGAGTATGTTTTCTCCATATGGAGGTGTACAGTTGAAAGATGTCCATGTTAAAATCTTCACAGAATCATAGAAGCATGGAATGATGTGGGTTGGAAGGGTCCTTAAAGATCATCTAGTTCCAACCTGTCTGCCATGAGCAAGGGACACTTTTCACTAGACCAGGTTGCTCAAAACTCCAGCCAGCCAGGCCTTCAGCACCTCCAGGGATAGGGCATCCACAGCTTCTCTGGGCAACCTGTTCCAGTGCCTCACCACTCTCACAGTAAAAAATTTCTTCCTAATATCTAATGTAAACCTACCCTCTTCTAGTTTGAAGCCATTCCCCTTTGTCCTGTCACTACATGCTCTTGTAAATAGTCTCTCTCCATCTTTTTTGTAGGCCCCCTTCAGGTACTGGAAGACCACAATTAGATCGCCCTGAAGCCTTCCCTTTTCCAGGCTGAACAATCCCAATTCTCTCAGCCTTTCCTCATAGGACAGTTGCTCCGCTCCTCTTATCATTTTGGGGTGGCCCTTCTCTGGACTCGCTCCAACAGGTCCATGTCCTTCCTGTGCTGGGGACCCAAGAGCTGGATGCAGTTTTCCGGGGGGGAGTAGACGGACAGAATCCCCTCCCTTGACCCACTGGGCCACACTGCTTTTGATGCAGCCCAGACTATGGTTGGCTTTCTGGGCTACAAGTGCACATTGCCGGCTCCTGTCCAATTGTCTTCTGTCACCAAAGATGCAAACTAACATTCCACACTTGAATGTTCTAAAATAGAAGTCTCACTAAAATAACTGTCAAAGGCACAGAAAATTGTGAAGAAGAAATTGAAGACAGCGATATAGGATTTTGCTCAAAGGCATTATTATGGTTCACCTAAATCTCATGTTTAAGTATTAGTGGACAAATAAAGTGTACGTTATAAAGTTTTTAAAATTCTTCTTTACTTTCTGCTTACTTTGTGAAAGTTGACGAACAAATATCTGTATCAATAATTCCTTATTGATACAGATTTTTAATGAGTTATAGAATATTTTATATGATCAGATTTTTAAATTCCTGAATTATCATTCTTCCAAGAAGGTCAAAGACTTCTTTGGAAGCTTAATTCTGTCCTTATTGGAACCAGTCACATAATTATATACAATACACATAATTTCTGATGCTAACAAAAAAAAGGTACAATGTCCAGTGTTTACATGCAAACAAGATTTTTGTATTCTATCGTGGTCTAGAAAACTTTGATTTAAAGAAATATCTAATGCTGAAGGCTTGGAAATGAGATGTAATTATGGAGTGTTGGGAACAGTAAGAAGGGAGCTTGTGAATGAATATTGGAAAGAGTTTACATGAAGTATGAGAATTATAGTCTTTGGAATGATTTCTTCAGTGAACGCAATGGTAGAGATGTTGCTTGTTATTTGAAATCTTAAATGGTATTTGTAGAGAGGTAAAATCATGCTAATGTTGTGTTTTAACTTTTTTAGTTGCATAATGCTGAAATCTTCCTCTTTGTTTTAGTCTTAATTTTTTAATTGTTTATTTTGTTTTCCTTATTAATATTGAGAATACTCTTGTAAATGCTCGGAATTGAATTGGAACATTAACCACCTGTTGCTTCTTCTTACAGGTACTGCTCCCAGCAGCTGGTCTCTTGCAACTGCAGGATGTGAAAAGGACTTGCTGTGAATTTTTGGAATCCCAGCTTCATCCTATCAACTGCCTGGGGATTCGTGCTTTTGCTGACATGCATGCATGCACAGATCTATTGAACAAGGCCAACACATACGCAGGCAAGTTACCATTAGTGTAGTATAGAGCTTGATATCTGTATGTGTGGGTACCCACACACATGGATTCCATGCCCACCCCATCCAGAGGGGTGTATTTCATCTCTTTCTCTCTACTACTTTTATGCTTGGTACTAACCTTCTCTTTCCTCTGCAACCAAGCCACCTTCCATTTCTGTCACATTCCTCCAGAAAGCACTTTCTTTGTCTATGCTTACCTTATTGTCATCGGATTCTTGGAATACTGCTAGCCCATACGACAAGCTGCCAGCTCAACTCCTACTGTGTTTTTGCTATATCTGTATGGTGGATTTTAAAGCAATGTACACTCTGTTCTTACTCTTACTGTGCATAGTCAGGGTGCACAGTCGGGTCCAGTCTCTGCACTGCCTTCCTTAATCCCTAGCACTGTCAGGCTTAGTACAAGAGCAATACAAAAAAAGAGAATTAAAACTGAAATGTCCTGATAAGGCTATAGAAAAAAATAAATATGTGATTGCATTACTTTTCATAACTTTTCTAAAATATACAGCGACCAATTAGCATCATTAACAATTACTACAGAGTTAAAATTTAATATTTTCCTGAAATAGAGCACTAACTGCTTCAACTCATATGTCTGGGTCCAAATAATAGGCTTGTTATTGCCTTAAGTAAATTTAAATGTCGTAACCAGAAGGATCTTGATGAATGCTTTCAGTTGTCTTCATTTCTAGAAAATCTGTTTTCTGATATAGATTATTTTTTTTTTTAACTCCCAGAAGATTATATTGTTTCTACGAAGAATGGATGTTTCAGGCAAAAACAGATATGCAGCAAACTCATATGATTAGGTATCTGTCAACAGAATCTGTGTTTGCTGTCTTAAGTGTGCAACGGGGGTATCCACATCAGCCATACTCAGAAGTTTTCAGTCTAGTGAAATTTTAGTCAAATTATTGATGTATCAATTAAAAAAAATTGAAAAGGTTTTCAGATTGCTTTTGGATGTACTAGTTTTTGTAATGCATACAATTACTCAAGAAGTTGTGATGTGTATGTGACTGACTTTGTGATATTGGTATTTGGAGTATTATGCAAAACATTTCAATTAAATCGTTTCATCTTTGAATAATACAATATCAAATTCAAAAAGCTATTATATTTTTATGTTTTGTGCAATAGGAAGCAAGACATACATTTATTAACGACAGTTAATATTTAATGTTTTAGGGAACCCATTTTTTCCAACTTTTTTTCTGACTTCTGGGTCTCAGTTACTTCTAAACCAAACTAAACCAAACCTCTAAACTACTTCAGTTACTTCTAAACAATCATTGTTCAGTTTAGTAGTTGAACCTAATATTTTGCACAGATTACTTTCTAGAAATATAAATTCTAAGGCCCTGGCAAGACCTTGAGTGCAGTATTGGTTAAATGTGTTTTGAGAGCACAGGAACTGTGTCCAGCTGGTAACTCTCCCTCCCTGGGTCATTTTGTTCAGGCATCCTTTGCTGTGCTCAGGGAGACTCTGCAAGCAGGATATAGGCAAGTGAAAAGAAGAGGGAAGTTATTTGTCGGTCCCAGTTGGGACATGTAAGCTACTAGGCTGAGCACCAGTACTCTGGTAAAAGCATCACGGGAGTAAGGGTTGGCCTTCATTTCTCCTTCTAACTGGCTGATCATCAGTCTTGCTGAATTTCTGTCTGCTGACTCCCTGATTTTCTTCTATACAATTCTGTACCTTTTGGGTCAATGTTTTTCCTCTTGAATTTTCAGGCTACTTACTGCCTGTATCTCAGCCATCATAGCTCATTTTCTCCCTGTTCTTATCTCAAATGTCTCTTTGTGCTTTGTCAAAGCTTTCTTAAAACTGAAAAAAAATTTCTCAAAAGTCTGAGACAAAGATGTGTGGCTGTGCCATTTCAGAATTAGGCCTTGTGTCACAGGCAGCCTAACTCCTAGAGTTTTGATATTAAGGCTCCAGAAACAAGAGTGAGTATAGAAAAGGATTATTAGATTGGAAAAAGCAGTGGAAAATATTTCCCTGTGTCATGGTTTGAGAACTCCAAAATCCAATTCTCAGGTTCAAGCCCCCTTCCCACATCTCAACCTAGTGTGAGATGGATTTCCAGACACCACATGAAACTCAGAATGAGGAAAGGGGTTATATATTACAATGACTGTACAAAATAAGTACTACAACACATTACATACAATCTATTTCTACCATAAAAGTATTTACAATGGATCAAATCTCTTCTCCCCTCCAAATAAAAGTCCAGGAGGGAAGAAGGAAAGATCCTTTCCACTTTCAGAGCAGCATTCTCTTCAGAGTAGCAGTCTATCTCTCTCTCTTCCATGCAGCAGCTGTAGCTGGATCTCTGCCAGTACACACAAGGGGGTATCCAAGCCCCTCGGCCCGTGGTCTCCAAGCGAGGGTCTTCTCTTCTGTGGGCTGCGTTTCCCAGGACAAGGGCGCTTCACCACATCATATCACGAAGCACAGGGGTCTTCGTGATGGTCCTTATTTTCAGGGGATTCAAGTTCCCTACAGAGCTCTTGGGCTCTGATCTCAGGCTGCTAGCTTAGCTTAGCAGCAGCGGCGAGAGGGGGCCAAGGTCACCCTCTCTGCATTCTTTCTCTGTCCTGGTCCAGCTTTCCAGGACACTTTGAGCTTCTCCGCTCCTCTCTGTAGTGCTGCTGCACTTCACCCCTCCTTTCTAGGAGGGGTCTCCAAAGGAGTTTGGGGTTTTTTTGTTTCAGTTCTTACCCAAACACACTCTCTCTTTGTAGAGCTTAGTCTGCTCTCTCTGCTGTTGGCTCTCGTTCTCTTCAGACAACTCTGTGTCTCTCTTGCTCGGCTGCATGTTTGTTTCTGCTGCTTCTCCCTTATCTCTTGGCTCTCAGCCACAGTATCTGGACGCTGCTCCTGCTGCTGCTCTGTCTCTGCTCACTCACGGAGGAGAAAACTTCTTTAGCTTTCAGCCACAGGTACTTAGCCCAGCATTACACTGTTCCAAGTCCCTGCAGCCCCCCTGCCGGGGGCTGGGAGGGGCCCAGCCCCCAGTGGGGCTGCTGCTGCTTCTCCTCGCAGCTCTACAACATGGCCACTTCTTCTACAACAACTACAACTACCTTCTCTTCCGTTCTGCTTGTGTTATGTTTATATTTTGCAAAAGCGCTCATTGGTTCAAACTTCCAAGGCGGTCACCACCCCCCGGGGATTTACCATTTTATAACTTCAGGGGGAAAACTGTTTTCCCCCCACCACACCCTGCTAGAGAAAATGAAAAGCATTTTGATTTTTAACTTCTCCCAGTTTTTATTTTGTTACACTTGCTATTTTATATTTAGAAAAAAGAGGCAGGGAGATAGTTCTGCTAATAGACAGTGATAGCATAAAAACAAATGGATGCCAATGGATCAGAAGTTATTAGAAAAGTGAAACTCTGGAACTTCCTTCCAGTGGGAGTAAAAACTCAACTTTCATTAAAATCGAAGCTTCATAACCCTATGGTGGGATTGGTCCTTCTGTAGCAGAGTGCAAGATTTCTAGGAGAGTCATTTACATGCATCTGTGATGTCTATGGAGAGATCTGAAAATAGTGGACAATTGATACAGGTTACTTGGAATGAGCTTCTGTTGCAATTAAACTTTAAGAAGCTACTTGTTCTCATGATGGTCCAGAGAGTAATCCTGCTCTGGGTCTTGTTGCGCCTTGCACACTCAGGGACTGCGTACAGCTGAGGCCTTTCATCCTTCTTGTTTCAGGATTCCTAGGAAGAGGATGTGGCATGAGCATTGCTAGTCTGCTCTCAGTTTTAGCCTGGCATATGTCTTACATAGTCTTAAAGGATGTTCACAAAGTAAAAACTTTTCATGAGAAAGTGGTGCATTATATAATTGTAATGTTATGTACAACCTGAAAATAAATTGGTAAAGCCTTCTAATGAAGAGGGGTATGCCATCTTGGACTAAAAAGACCCTTGCTCTGTGCTTATATCCTGACATATTTGTTAGTTATAACCAAAGAATAATAATGTATTTCCCTCACTGCATAGAGCTTTGGAAACATTGGATTACGTGTGGAAAAGGTGTCTTTTGAGGCTTGACATAGCTAGCCTTGTTGGCTTTTAGAATTGTGCTGAGATATTGAAGATACTTTTGTTAGGAAATCTTATCATATGCTTTAATGCAGGGATTGCTGCTTTGTGTTTAACAAAGCAGAAAAGTTTGTGGGATAACAGTTTTCTTGATTCTGGTGCTCTAAGACTAAAATTTTGACCCTGACAAGACTTGGAAGCATGTCTTCTGTAGACTGTTCTTGTGTACATCCGTATGCATGAGATTGAAAGGATGTAGTTGTCAGAATCTTTCTTATGATTCTATTCTGAGTAGCAACGTCTGTTGCTATGCTGCTGTTGCCTTGGCTTCTATGAGTTTCATGGTGTTCTAAAAACCAGTTATTTAAGCATAAAATTGACAAGTAAATCACATTTTTTAAAAGAATTTGATTCTGCAGTGTTTAGCTTCTGCTCGTTCTCCAGCTGGCAGAGCTTGTGTCTATTCCTCTGCAGTAAGGCTGGGGTTCCTGCTTGACCAGTGCCTTAAATTAGGCCATTAGCAAAGACCTTTTTTCCCAAGCCAAAAAAATCACAATGTGACATTGTGAAGTGAAGCAGTGATTTAAAAAAACCTAATTCTTCTTAATGTTTTTGTTTCATCTGCTTGAGAAACTGTTTTTCATCTTTCTTTTAAGTGACCATAAGGCTTAGACCTTTCCAAGCTCCCAGGCTATGCATTGGTCTAAAACAAGAGGTTATCAGTTCAGAAAGAACTGGAAACAGAAAGTGCTGTAATGTTCCAGTGGTTTTGTAGCATTATCACATCAGAAAGGTGCAGATACTCCAGTTAGTTTATTAAAAAATCATCATTTGTTTTGTGAAATAGAAATAATTGGCCTAAACCAGACAAAAGACACTTACGAAACTCAATATGTTTGGTTATGGTATTTTGTTTCACACATGAATACATGTTCAATTACTGTCATGAAAAGATCTAGAGAATGAGGAGGTTTTCCCTTTTTCCAGCTGCAGATTGGCACTGATAAGCTGTGGCCATTTTTTTTCATACTTTTTTTTTTCATTTAATGTGGCTTTGGGAAGATCTCTTCTGATTGCAGGTATACAAATAAGTGAAAAAGCATTTGTGAATTAATCCACAAATGTTCATAGCATAAAATGTCCTATGCAGATTTTAGATATAGCTTTCCTTTGTATGTAATTGAAAACCACAAAGCTAATGTCAATATGTTTATGGACAGCAAGACTATGTGCCTTTTGGATAGAAGAGGTGTCAAGTGTTTTTTGCTGCATGTGCATGTATCACACATAGCTCCAGACTCATAATGAAAAAATACCAAAAAGTGGTACATTTACATCTGCTATTATTTTTCTATGCTCTCCATGCTGGCATTGTTTACTGTACTTTCAAACATTTTGTTACTAGCCCTTTTCCTGTTGTTAAGGGCTTCCTTTTAGTCCTTTCAGTTTGTCCCTGAAACTGAAGTCCCATCCTGCTGGTACAGGGCAGACAAGGACAGATCTTCAGCTATTCAGATAGAAACTGACTCGGTTGCGAAAATGTGAAAATCTGGTTTTCATGTGCAATTGGAACAGATATTTTAGAAATGTCCTAAAATGGAAAGGTTTTTTTAAAGACAGATTTTTAGTTTTGATAATAAAGAAGTAGGTAGGATTCTACTTGCTTAGGAAGTGGGAATCTGGGAGCCAAGCCTCTGCAGCTCCTAAGCCAGCTTGTTTCCAGTCTGCCAGACTTTGGAGCCAGCTGGCTTCAATGTCTGAGTAAAGAGGCAAGAAAGGGGGCAGGATTCCAGTACAAATTTGTCAAAGTTGCATACTGCGTGGAAAATTCTGATTTAGGAAAAAATAATTACTTTATTCTCTCATGGAAACTTTCATCTGGATAGTTCTCTCCTTGCTTCATCTAGGAGATGGTCATTAAAAAAGAAGTATGTTACCTAACGCAATAAATAAAAAACAAGCTAATTTGAGATTTAACAGGGGACAGATGCGTGAAATATTTAATCATGTCATAAGTTTCATCATGGTTGATGTTAATACCTCCAGATTATCAAAGCTTTCAGGATGTGAGCAATAATATGAGATCATACAAATCCTAACCCAGAAGGCAAAAAAGTCCAATACTATTTTTCTCTCCTCATTATTAGGAAGAGGACCTAAGTGTGATTTTTTGAAATATTAGTACTGAATCATATTATTTTGAAGATGCTGATATCCTTATTGTTGAAAGTATGCAAAAAGTTTGATTTTCGTAAGCATAATTTTTATATATAATAAAACCTTCTGTCTTCAGCATTTGAACAGCATTACATAAATTGCCATTGGCAGAATTAATTGTTTTTGCATTTCCTTGTTCATTTTCTTTTTCCATTTCCTTGTTTTTAATTATTTGAAATAATCTATTTAGCTGTAATTTCAATTGGCTTCTGCCCAAAGGTTATCTATCAATTAGTTACGATGGTTTCCTTGACGACAAGAGATCTGATTCATAAGATTCAAGTTATTTCATCTTATCTCTTTTTTTTGATGACTAAAATATATTTAGGAATCTCCTATTTCTCTTTCTGTAGTTCATTCAGCTGAGAATCTGTAGCTATTGACTGAGTAGTTTGTTTTAATTTCTCCCTTTTTCACTCTTCCTTCTTCTCTTGACTGTGTGCATTGTTTTATACTTTAAGTACAGAGGCTGACATCCAGCAAAACAGTCTTAGTTTTTGTTCAAGTTCTGTCTGTTTTTTTGGATTTTCTTCTATGGTTTTCTCTCTAGAGGAGACAGTCTCACAGTCATTGTATTACTTTGAAAATTCTCAGCTTTTACTCTCCTGGTTTAGAGGCTAAATCTCTTCCTGTTTAGTTCATGACATAAATCTAAAACAACTTTTAAAAAGCAAAGCTTTTATATATGAGTCTATAAAATCAAGTGGGTATTTTTAATTTATGAAGTATATCCTGTCGGATGTGATCCACTGTTGGATCAGATTTCTCAAGGGAAGATGAACAACACTTCAGAACCTCAGATTTGTTTGAGATTTGAATGTGTGTTGCTTCCCCTTTCTGCTTACTTCCTAACTCACCTTCTCAGTACAGTCAGGCCTGTGGTTTGTGTCACTGTCACTTGAAATTTGGAGTTTATGATAAAACTATTTTTTGCAAATTGCTTTTCTCAATTTCTATTTGCCATATGCAAACAGCAAAACCCGTCAGATATTTATTTCAATAAGCATACCTCAGAAAATTCAGCTTAAGAAACTGCATATTTTTTGTCTGAAAAGCAGATATGAAAAGATTTGTAAAGAGTGGAAAAGTGGGTGTTATAAAAATCAATAGTATTTCTCTTCGTCCTTTCTCTCCCGTTGCCTGAAGTACTGCAGAAAATACTACCTGTCCATCATAAGAGAATGCTGCAGAATTAGAGGGACTTGGAGTGATGATGGTTGCATGAATGAAAAGGCTGGTAGGATAAGGGACTGAAAACACAAGGACCATCTACTTTAGAGATGAAGACTAAAAAGGAAATAGAGTAATGGATGATTTTGAATAGACAGGTCCACTTTCCCTATCATATTAGCATTAGTATGGGGATTCAGCATAGGTTGAAATTGAAAACTGAGTAACTGGGTGTTAAATTTATATGCATGGCTTTTTGCCCAGTGTTACTGTGGGATTATTACTATGGGAAAATAATAAAGTCAAAAATTTAACAGTATTCAAGGAGACTAGTCTTTATCTAAGTAAACTCATTGTTTAGTAAAATGTGATTAAGGCAAAATACCATCTTTCTGGCTAGCGATCTCTAATCTTTCATGGTTATAGTGAGACCTTTGTGGGAGGAGGTTTCATTATCATACTTTTCATATAAATTCTTGGACTTCTGTCTGAAGGAATTTGTGCTGCCTATTTCTAGGAACAGCATGCTGAAGTAGATAAAGGGCGAGAATTATACTGAGTTATATTTATCTTTTTATGCTATCTAGATTTTTAGTACAGTGCAAAAAAGCTGTTGTACCCTGCAAAGTTGAACTAAAAAATTAGATTTCTTTAGCTGGAAACATTCAGCATTCTTTAATTTTTTTTTTGACAACCTAAAACTATTTCTCAAGTATGGAGTCTTAACCATAGTAGCACTAGTAGAGTGAGAGAAAAGGTTACAAAATGTGCTTTAGTTTGAATATGTTTGATGGCCTTTTTTACTTATTCTAATTTTGAGTGAATTCTTAAATTCCCAGTAATAGCTGTCCCTTCTGACTTCTATCAAGAATAGCAGAAGGGGAGAAAATAATCTAACTGAATGGAACTACTTTTTAGAGCAACTGAATGGCTTAAAAAGCAATTTTAAGGAAGGGAGGGGGCAACTGAATAATTGAACAACAACCTGATAAAGATATGTTCTGTATTAAAAGAAATTATTTGGTTCTACAGCTGAAAATATTAAATTTTGTCAGTTTTGTTTACTTTAGGTTGAGACTTTAAAAAAAAACTGGGGAAAAATTGCAGACCTTCTACATGTTGTAGAGATTGGGGTATGCAGTATTTTATGACCTAGGAGAAGTTCTGAAAGATGCAGAGGATCCAGACTTGTTTTTTCACACTGCTGTCAAACTGTTAGTTCTAATGAATCAATGTGGAACTATAGGTTTAAAACATGTTTGTCAACAATACACAGAGCATGTTCTTTATCTGGAATCTTTTTTGCTGTATTTGCATGTACAAAGTTAGCAAAATGAGATTCAAGTAATTATCAAGGACAAGTACTGTGATGAAGCAATGCTGAAAATTGCTACAATTCCTACTTTTAGTATAATGTGTTTTAATATTTCAGTTATTTTAAAAAATCTTTAAATATGAAAACTGTTTGTGAGACAAAGCTTTAAATAGAAAAGGTTTTAAGTTAAGGTATTGCTTCTAGCTATGACAAAATAGCATGCATATTGAATCCTTTTCCTCTGTTTTCCCTTGCTGCATTAATGCTTGTTTTGGGATATATGTCACAGTGTACGTTAGCATATTTCTTTTTCTCCAAACAGAACAGCACTTTTCCGATGTTGTACTTAGTGAAGAATACCTCAATCTTGGTGTAGAGCAGGTGTGCAGTCTTATATCCAGTGACAAACTCACAATTGCCTCAGAGGAGAAGGTAAGACCATCTGTATCCAATTATTCTTTTTATCCTTTTGGGTGAGAGAGCAAGCTTACTCATATTGCTCTTGCACACTTCTTTGGATGTGTTCTTTGTTTCCTTAGTGAAATTAGGCATGTATTGTGCTCAAGTTTAAACAAATTTTTCCAAAAGTGTTATCACTCTGATGTTGAAAATCAGTCTCAACTCTTACAAATCCTCAAACTGTATTAACTCATTTTACTCTTTGTTCTTTGAAAAAAAACCAAAAAACAAACTACATTAAACGGAAATTCCTTCTCATCTTCATGCAGAACAAACAGAACACATGCTGAGTCACATACACAGGAGTTTGATTTACCAAGGGATAAATAACTCAAAGTTGGCAGAGCAAGTATATGCCATTTACTAACTTTAACATCAGAAGTCCCACAGAGGTATTAAAACTCTGTATATATATGTGAGCTGTTTAGCCTGACTGAACAAATGTAGGTTGCAAAGGAGATGACTAGGCAGCTTGGTATTACCTAACTTGAGTTTAATGTGTATTAGCTAGATCTCAATCTTTTAAAGACGTTTTTGAAACACTGTGGTCTTCAGCAAACCCAGGTCATCCCTGCAAACCTCTAATGGTTTTCAGGTATTAATTTTGAGCTTTTTTATTCATTTATGATCTATTCGAGATACGTTGGTTTTCCTTTTTCCACGGAGTATGTGGTTGTACCAACGTCTCTGTTCAAATTAGGCTAAATTGTGTTCAAAACCATGTTTGAATACTGATTTGTATGGCTAGGTAGTGTTTCATGTTAAAACCTTTTTGAAACTTTGAATCTAAGAACTATCTGCTTAAAGTGCAACTAGCAAAGTCTTGTTGTTATTCCTGTAATACCCTGAAGGTGCAGTTCTGTCACTTTGATCCATGTGATGCTGCTTTTGTGGAGTATGATTAAGGTTTTAATGTTCTACTGTATGATGTGCTACTGTGCAATGGAATTAAAACTAGGTTTGGGATAACTTCTCCCACTAAGACTCAGTGATGACAAGTCATTTGAATGGTGATGTGGCAGGCCAGTTCTCCAAGAAAGGAAGAAAAGTATGAGGACTGTAATATTGGTGCTGCTGTGTTGTTTGTTTACCTAATTTTACTGGATTTTCAGTGTCAGTGAAGTTACTGTGTGCATTTTGTCGATGTAACACAGCTATCCTTGAAACACCAGTAGAGGAGCAATATAAAAAGAGACTAACTAATGCACCTTTTTAATTTTTTAGTTGATAAATATGGAAATAATGGGAGCTGTAACTGCTCCAACTTTTCTTATGTTACAAATTTTAGTATAAGCAAAACTGGTTTTGGAGGCACACTGATGTTTCATACGTATGAACTTATAAGTAAGGGGATTTGCATTGTTTGTTTTCTGGAAGGTATTTGAAGCAGTGATAGCCTGGGTAAACCATGACAAAGATGTAAGGCAGGAGTTAATGGCACGTCTGATGGAGCACGTTCGGCTGCCTTTGCTTTCTCGGGAATATTTAGTTCAGGTGAGCAAAAAGGAATACTAATTATTCTGCACATGAAAATTTCTGTTCATTGTTTTAATGCCAGATGGATAATTTTAAATTTAAACAGCAGTGTAATGTAGTTTGTTACTGACAGTAAAACTGAACAGACAGCCACTACCACATATGCATGTGCACGTGCATACTGAGCCAGGTGAGGGACTGCCACTTAGAGGATGGCTTATATAAGTAGTTTATCTGTTTGGCTGACTGCATGTCATATCACACTAATGATTTCAACAATGCAATTTGCTGAGATCAGGTTACTTTTCATTTGTAACACAATCTTGTATAAAAGATTTGTTTTCATAAGTGAATTTTCAACTTCAGAATCATATCTATTGTTTAAGTTGATTGGGAATTAATGACAAAGGAAACATTCCTTCACCTGGTTCAGATAAAATACATTTTTTCCAATTTTATAAGCTCATTTTTGATACTTTGGTGTCAGATCAAATATTTAAGATTGAAAATGAGTTCAGTATTACCATTGGTTAGTTGTATGTTGGTAGGTGTTTATTTTAGAAATTCTGTTTTTGTGATACAAATCTCAACTTTGTGTGGGTTGTTTTGGATGAGTTTTGGAGGTTTTTTGCCCTTTGCTTTTGTTGTGTTTTTTAGTGTTGTGGAGTGGCTTACTAGTTTGTTAAATTATTCTCCACTATTTAAAATATTCTGTACTCTCTGTATTTGAAAATTCAAGAAATGTGCCTGGATTGTAAGAAAAGTGCTGTACCTTGCCTAATAATGTTTCTTCCACTTACTAATTGAGAATTAACATCTCCTAATTTAGTTTTTCTTTTTGGGGATTGCATATTGCCAACACATAAATTTGTGTCTAACTGGTTAAATGATAATCTAAACAATTAGATTAATCTGCATTTGTGCTTTAGTACACTTCAGATTGTGATTTGTGTTTTACTTCCTTAACACGCTCAGACCTTGTTAAACTTCTATTAATAAACAGAGAGTTGAAGAAGAAATATTGGTTAAGAACAGCAGTGCTTGTAAAGATTACCTCATTGAAGCTATGAAGTATCACTTGCTACCAACTGAGCAACGAGCATTGATGAAAAGCACTCGAACAAAATTGAGAACACCTGCTAGCCTCCCAAAAGTAAGACTCTTACTTTTCCATGTACTTACTATTTCAAACTCCATTTTAAAAGATTTCATAAGAGCATGACTGTGTCTTGGGGTATTACAGTAAAAATTTTGTACTGAAATCGCTCATCACAAAAATATAAAAAGTAATTAGCTTTACACGCCATGCTACTTATGATATAGGTGTTTTAGTCTCCAACCTACACACAGCACCACCACTACATCCCCTCCTAGAAAACATTTTTTAATAAGTGCTTCAGCATTTGAGAAATATACAATTATGGGGAAATAAGCCTGTTCAAAAAAAACCCAAAACTGAAACAAAACAAAGACTGACAAGCTTCTGAGTTGAGACATCTTTTTCAATTTTTAGCTAAATGTTGCCTTTCATTCATTTTAGGGGAAAACAAAACAAACATTAGAGATTATCTTCTTTCCAGTGAAGTAAAGAAGTTTTCTCATAGTACTGTTGTGACAACTGCAATAATGGAATAGGAGATTCTGTTCAGCAGATGGATGGTCACAGTTCCATTACACATAACAGACATTGAATTCTTATACCTGAGGTCAGAGTAGGATGTGAAGATACAGAAAGGATCTGCCTTGTTTGTGGGAGGTTTCCTTAGATTCAAATTGTTTTTCTACTTCATGTATTGCACCTGAAAACAATCATTATGAATTACATTTGTTTAAAAAAAAAACTCCAAACAATTAGTGTTGCCTGGTTCTCAAGACTCAAATTTCTAATTTAGGAAAACCATCCTCTAATTATTTGTTGTACAGAGGCTCGCTTTATTTTTTTAACACTTTTTTGATCTTTCAGGTGCTCTTATATGTGCAGATAATTAACAATTATTATTATCTCCCTTTTAGTTGATGATGGTAGTTGGAGGACAGGCACCAAAGGCAATTCGAAGTGTTGAATGCTATGATTTTAAAGAAGAACGCTGGCATCAGGTGGCTGAATTGCCTTCCAGAAGATGTAGAGCAGGTTAGCAATGCCTATTTTTTTTGTTGTGGTTGGTAATGCTTCAGAATTTAGGCATCGGTATAAAGCATTGTATGTTCTTTGGAACAGTACCAAAGATATTTTTCTAAGAAGGGCTAAGCCTTGACTTCAGCATTTGAATTACTTGCTAATCTGGAACAATGCAAGTTTGATAAATTGTGCTTAATTTGTGCTTCAGTTTGTAATCTGTAAAATAAACTGCTTTATTGCCTTCATTAGACACAAGGGATAAATAAATTTAAATATTAATGCATTGTAATAATGACTAATTTTACTATTAAAATACCCTGTTATTACTAAATGAAATCAAGAATGTGAAGAAGCAATCAACTGCTATTAAAAACATGAAAATGTGATCTTAAAGCAGCTGAGCTATCTGAGCAAGAAGAATTTCAGCAAATATGGTATTCAGAAGTGTGAGATATTAGTAACAAAAAGTGTCAGAATATCTAGTGCTTAATCTGAAGGAAGTGTGGCTCTAGGAGTCTGTCAAAAGCAGGACAAGTGTATCGAGTACTGTAAATCGTGTCAAGTATCTGCAAACTCAGGACAGTATGCAATAAAATTAATTGACAAAGAGACTAAAACACTCATCTTTCCTCCCCACTTCCCTGCTCTAGGAATGGTGTACATGGGAGGCATGGTTTACGCAGTTGGTGGTTTCAATGGTTCTTTGAGAGTTCGCACAGTGGATTCCTATGATCCAGTGAAGGACCAGTGGACAAGTGTTGCTAACATGCAAGACAGGAGAAGCACACTGGGAGCAGCTGTATTAAATGGCCTTCTTTATGCTGTGGGAGGATTTGATGGGAGTACAGGTATATTTGCCTTATACACTTCTGAATAGTTTTGACTACTCTTAACATAATTGTATCAAATTTGAAGGTCTCTTTCCTGGTAGCTGTGATGAAACCAAGCATGAGGGTAGCCTGGTGTCTTGTGATGTGGAATGCACTTTAGTGGTCACATCCCTCTACCAGAACAGTGGACTGTTTGCTCCCATCTAAGAGTTCAGATTTAATGACTAGTGAATTTTTGACAGGTTCCCATTCAGCATTCCTTCTGTAGTCAGAATCCTTAACTTCTAGAAGATATCAGCAGTTATTTCTGCTTTTTCATGTAGTGTAAATAGGATTATAAACAGCTTTTTCTGACCTGTAGGAAGGCTTTAGACATACACTGTTCATTCTCTTCCCAGATGCATTAAACCATTTGTCCAGAGGTGATCCTTTTGCTTAGTAACTGTTGTAGAAGCATATGTGGGATAAACCATGTGACTTGATTAAAAAGAAAGGAAAAAAATCAGGGAAGAATTTTTCACAGTTCAATAAAAGCTTTTAGTAATTTGTCCATTTTCAAACACCAAGAATATGTTGACTGTAACTGGCTATCTAAAGGACATCATTTGTGCTTTTTGTACAGTAACTAACAGTCCTTAAAATGAAATAATTTGAATTTTCAGATATGAAGACTTTTCTGAAAGCTAGACAGTATGTCGCACCTAGATTTATAGAGAAAATAATGTTGTATTGTGTTCATAGGTTTATCATCAGTCGAAGTTTACAACTTAAAGACTAACGAGTGGTTTCATGTAGCTCCAATGAACACAAGAAGAAGTAGTGTTGGCGTAGGTGTTGTTGGAGGTAAGTTGACAAATTATATTAAAAAGAACAGGTGGGGAAATGCAATCATTTACTCTACTACTTTTTCTTACTATTGAAAACATGCTTTGGATTTATGTTTTTGCTCAACCTTGTAATTTGTTCGTTCAAATGGTAATGAACAATATGTAATCGCTCCAGTTGGGTTTGACCAGTTTTTAGCAAAATAGTTTTAAATTTTTTTTCAGAGCTTCAACAGTGCCTGACACTAACTGAGGAAAAGCTCTCTAAGCATGTGTACTCTCAGTTATGTATGTCAGCAAAGTCAGAGAGCTGAAGTGATGACCTTATCAATTGGTCTTTAGTGATGTAGCACTGTTGTATTGTCAGCTCTGTTATCTGTCTGTGGCTGACTTTGCTGGCTGCATGCTGGGGATGATCCCAAGGACAGTGCCAGGAAAACTGCTGACTTTCCAGTCAGCCTGGATGTCACTTGCACAGTGCAGGCCTGGGCTGGCTCTTGGGTCTTAAAAGTTTTAGGTGTCTGTGTTTTAACTGCATAGGAACCACTGCTGTGTCAAATCTAAAAATGCAGACTGTACAAGTAATTTTTATCTGAATTTTTGATATTTCTAGGAAGCCTATTGGTGAGATGCCAGTATTAAACATACTCGAATTAGCTTGCTTTTGAACAATGCTTAACTAAAAACCTGACGTTTGTATTTCAGCAAGGCAATTTAAAATCTTTTGACTTGCATTGTTCTTGTTAGATACTGGCTGCCTTTTACATCCTAAAAATAAAAGAACTATGGTGTGCTAACTTAAACTGTTTACAGAGTAGAAACTCAGTAACTGACTGGTGACAAATACTGATTAGTAGCTGACTCAGAGAACGAGGACTTCTTCTCTGCCTGTGTACCAATACAGTCTGTGTGCATTAGAAATTTGTCACTTTGTGTTGGTTACCCTCTTAGGTAAACTGTATGCTGTTGGTGGCTACGATGGAGCATCACGTCAGTGCCTTAGTTCAGTAGAATGCTATGATGCTAATACGAATGAGTGGAGCTATGTTGCAGAAATGAGCACTAGACGGAGCGGAGCAGGTGAGTGGACAAGGATCAACTGTCCTTGCAAAACTGAAAATCTGTGGGTTTAAAATGTATCTAAGAATATAAAAGGTAAGCTTTTGTGAATCTAATGGAATGTGCTAGTCCTAAATGGCTGATATAAAGCAGGTTATAAAAACAAAACTGTCCTACAGAGTAAGATTGTCTGTTAATAGTAAATATTTCTCTTTGCTTTTTCATACTTTCATATTCCTCCTCTTTCCATGACTTCTGATGTTTTTTAACATACAGACTAATACTCATGGATTGTAACAGTCACTGTCGCCTAAATACTGAAGTATCAAAATCTATACTTCTAGGATGAAAAAATGTCTTTTCTTCAAAGATACCTCTTTGCCAGTGTAGGGCTGATTTTTCAGGTTGACTTTACATGTGAATTGTGACTAGGTTCCCACCTCTTTGGAGGACTTGTTCTGCATTCTGATTCACTTCAGGAAATTTTGTCCTTGTTCATTCTTAAGTTTGTATTACTGATTCCATCCTATTACTTCCACTTACGTACCCTTTATTTCACCTTCAGTAGTTCTCCTCATCACCTGGTGTTTACATCCTCTGTACCTGTACAGCCTACTACATGTTATCCTTCCTTATTGTTTAGCCAAAGTATATCCATTTATTTCTGTATAATCTTAAAAATCCCTTCTTTATTTTTTATGGATTTTTTTTACTTCTTGTGATTCTGGGTATGTATATTTCTCTTTAAAGACATCAAAAGTGCCTGTGGTATTACACTTTTGTTTAATTAAATGATGCTTCCACAGCTCCAAATTGACTTTAGCATTTTCATTATCTATTTATATTATGGACTTGAATCTCATTTACTGTTCACTGTCCTCTATTTGTCTTTTGGTATTTCAGGTTTTTTCAACTCGCAGAAGTTATTTTATTTCTCTAGATGCGTTCCCAAGGACTTTTTCAAGTCAAATTCCATGATATTATTTTCTACATTAATTTTTTTAGTAGTTTAAATCACTTTTTTTGCCAAGTACTCAAAGGCGGTTTTTAGCAACACCCTTCAAGTATCTACTGGTGATTGCATTAATGTGCTTCATAATTGGAAGAGCTATTGCTACAAATAAATCTGGATGGACTTCTAGTATGCTCAGTAGATGATTAGTAGTTATCCCAACTTTTCATCTTGCCTTCCATTATTCTTTGTTAACTCTGAACAGTTTTTATCTGTATAATGTCTAAATTAAGTTTAAATGATTTCAAAAGAAATCTATCAAAGTATTAAATTCATTACTAAAATTGATAGTTTGTGTTACTTCCATTAAAGCCTTACAAAATCAGCAAGTTGATCTCTCTTATTACTAGAAGTCATGTTTTGATTGTGTTTCTAAACTAAAACTATGATGTTAATGAAGGAAACATGATATATTGTACCTCAAGAAAACATAGTTGTCTTGTGAAACTTCTAGTAACTCCGTCTGTGCATCTTGGAAGTAAATCTAGATTTAAAACTGGACAGAGTTGCAGTAAGGGTATTGTTAAATACTCCTGTGTAATATTGGCAATTTTTGAGGAAAATATTTTTATAAAATGGGCAAATTACAAGTATCATTATAAAGACAAAGAGTGTTGGTGTGTTGTGACAAAACTTCATTTTGCAGTCTGCCCGCACACACATTTTGTTTCAGCATTTGGGGGTTATTTTTTGATACTCTGTTTTTGCAAACTGTTATTGTGCTTGTAGCCTATTTATACAGTAGATATTTTCAGAATTTTTTTTAATGTTGAATTTCTTCTACAACTCTGAAATTTTTAGTTCTTTAGATACACTGACTACTGGGATCTTTCTGTCCCTCTCCTCTCTCCCCTTGTCCCTGAGTTCAGGACTGTGTTTGCTTACTCAGCTCTCTTCTGCCTTTTACCTTGTCCTCTGATTAAAAAAAAAAAATGGAAAGGAAAAGTAAATATAGTCAGTTATTTCAGATTCATATAACGGAGTAAAGTAATGAACATTCTTCTGTGCCACTCTGTTAAATATATGGAAAATTATATTTTTGTGTGGCAGAGGAGTGGGTGGTAATGTGAAAATCGTGATTGTTGATTGGGCTTGGCTGTAGAGGCCAAATATCCAAACCCACCAGAACTGTCTCAACTGGTGATCAGTGCTGATGGTGTTATGGGTACTAACTAAAAAGAATTTTGTTCCTGTGTTCAAGTTTTGCATCTCTGGTCATCTCAAGGAACTTAAGCTCATCTCTTCTGTTCCTACTGCTTCAGCTTCATTCAAAAGCAACTTTTCAGAGGTTAACCCTCAGTTACTCTTCTTTAGTACCAACTGCTTCTCAGTTGATCAATATGGGGACAGATCTGTTTCCAGCAACATATTGGGATGAGGAACTTCAGATCCAGATATAGGCCATTTGGGAGGGCTGAGAGATATAAGACAGGGTCCTGAAAAATGGGCAGGAAAGAAATGTAACAAAGAAAGGAGAACTCAGAAGACGGCAAGAAATAAGGTAGGACCTGGAAACTGGGTGTGGGATTAAGGGAAAATGAAGCACCAAGGAGGAGTGGAGGACATTATTAAAAATAAGGAACTATGAAAAAAAAAAAGGCAATGTGGCAGAGGGAATACTCTACACACTGAATAGGAAGGTTGGTAACTACACCAAAAGCATGGGTGGGGGGATTTATATCACATCACATATTTAAACTGAAAATCGTAGCCCTCCTTCTAGCTCTGTAATGTTTGATTCTACAAAAGCTGAGTGTTGTATTATCCTGTCTAATAATGTGTGATCAGAGTGGGAGAAAGAAAAGTTGTCATACTATACTGTGACATGACAGCTGGAAATAATAGCAATAAAAGAGGAATTAAATGAACTGGAAAGGATATGGGGAAATGTTAGTAGTGAGTATCACTGATAAAGTATTAGATAGGATGATTTATAAAAGTGTCCTATCAAAAAGCTATTTTTCAGATTTACATTACCAGTTAACTTCCATGTTTCCTTTCTCTCTTCCTTTAATTATTAAAATCAATCTTTTTAATAAGAAAATTTAGGCATTTCAGCAGGAGTTGTTTCTCTCCCCATATAGGAATGGCTGTTATATACAATATTAGTGATATGTTTTCAAAGATACTTCAGCTGGTTATTAAGGTCTCAGGGTTCTCTTTTATTTATATTTTTTAAAAGAGTATTTTTTTTCCTCCAAAGGACTTAACTGATCTTGTGCATTCATATTTGTTATTTCCCTTTAAAAAAGATTTTTAAGCTGTGCCCTTTCCATGGAATCCTTTATGAACTGTATTTGCAAATCTGTATCTCAGCTTTGAGTTTCATAATCTCCAATGTGACATATATTAGATTTTCCAATATATTTCCATAGTGCTGCTTTTTGGTTGTCTTTATGGTCCATCACACAAAAGTTTTAATCCAAAACCCGTCTACATTTCTTAAATTTATTATTTTTGGGTTCTAATAATGCATTATAAAATGAGGAATAAATAAACAGGCCTTTCTTTCTGCTTCCCCCATTACCATCTTTTCAGTATGTGCAGCCCAATTAGCAAGTAGATAGAACTAGCTTTATTCACTCCTTCATTCCAAGTAAAGGAGACCTTAGGATTAAAGGACATGCTTTGATATCCTTTTGGATATTTTGATAACTGAAGTTTGTTTCAAAGATGCTTGGTATTCTCCTTCAAATCCCAGAGAAGGTATTCACTCTTAACTGTTTCCTTCTGTTTTGTATATATGTTTACAAGCTATTCCAACACTTCAGTGGAAACATCCCTGTTGTATAATGTCTATCCATTCAGCTTTTATCCTCTGTACTGCACAGTTTTTACTTTCTAAAAATTCACTTACACTTTATCATCTTGTCAGATTTCCGTTATGCTGGCTGAGCACACTGTCTCATTTACTGTCACTTCTAATTAGTCCTAAATTTCAACAATCCTCATTTTCCTGCACATCATTTTTCGTCCAAAATTTTCTAAACCTTCCGTTGCAGAACAGCTCTGGTCTTTGTATGGTGCAATATGGTAGATGGGCATGCAAGGCACTTTATCAGTGTCCTGCTATATTATATTTATCGGTGTCCTGCTATAGTTACTGTCTCTTTGCTTTAATGCATCCTGACCCAAATGTTTTCTGAAAGAGTTTCTAGCATTGACTTAATGATGAATCTATGTTAGTGGACATAATATTTGTTGTTTCTCTTTTGTATCATTCAAACTATTCTCTGGTTAATTCTGTGTATTTTCATATGTTTGCAGGTGTCGGTGTGTTAAACAATTTATTGTATGCAGTAGGTGGTCATGATGGTCCTTTGGTAAGAAAAAGTGTTGAAGTGTTTGACCCCATTGCCAGTACGTGGAAGCAGGTTGCAGACATGAACATGTGCAGAAGGAATGCAGGTGTGTGCAACAATGACTTTAAAATTTTGCTAATGTCATTTGCTGTGAATGGCACTGGATGTCAATGTTCCTGGACTTCTGCTGCTTTCATGATGTGGCAGAATAAAACCTTTGCTTTTTGGGGTGAAGAAGTCCGTTGCTATTTTTCATACTGGTTTCTTGTCCTTTTTTAGGTGTTTGTGCTGTAAATGGTCTGTTGTATGTAGTTGGAGGAGATGATGGTTCCTGTAATTTATCAACAGTGGAGTATTATAATCCAACAACTGATAAATGGACAGTTGTGTCATCCTGTATGAGTACAGGAAGGAGCTATGCAGGTAATGCATATAGATATTTTTTAATAGACTTTTTACAGTATAACAGCTAGGAGAAGAAATTCAACAAAGCATCCAGAGTCTTGTGTAAGGTAAAACCTAAGATAATAAAATGGATAGGAAGAATATTTTGAAGTCATATTTTGAATGGTGACTTCAACCAAATATCCATTGCAAGGACAAAAAAGGTATTAAACTGTACTCAAGGGATTTAGCACAAAGGTGGTGAGACAGAAAGACGATTCTGTTATGATCAGTTCTTTTAACAAGAAATTTGTCTCGATCTAGGGGTCCAGTTCGGAAGTTCTTTCGGATTTAGTATTTAGAAAACAAGCTGTTTCAGGAATCTTTTCCTTCAGTAATTGCAATTTCTCAACTGAGTTATCTAAGTGAATGTTAAGGATATATCTCACTGATGACAAAAATAAATTAAACTTGATTAATGGCAAGTTTTTTCAAGTCACAGAAACTTTCAGAATTTTGCACTGATTCAGACAGCTTTGTGTCAGAGATATATTAGGGGGAAATAGGTACATTGATGCTGGTGTACAGCTAAATCCTAATTGCAACATATTATATTAAAATTATGTATACATATGTATATGTATTTTCATGATTAAAAAAAATACTACCTAAAGATTTATACCTTTTTCACCCCACTCTAGGTGTTACAGTTATTGACAAACCATTATGATCAGTAATGGGATTTTCAACTTGATTATGCACTAGGAGCAGTCTTCAGCAAGTGTATTTGAAGTGACTGAGTATCTAAGCACTTCTCTACTTGTAGCTGCACCTTGAGTCACAGTGGAAGATGTGACTGTCTACAATTACAGATGACAGATGATGAAGATTACTCTAGGTAGAAGCAATGCGTAGGATTATTCTGCAGCTGAGCAGAAGCTGATTGAATTTTTGAAGTCTAGTGGACCATTTTTTTAATTGCAAGATCTTCAAAAAAAAAAAGCCACCTTTCATAAGGACCGACTTATGTCAGTCGTGACTGAGAAACGGATTGTCAGTGAAGAACGGTGTGTATTCTGGTGAAAGTAAATTTTTGTCTTATTTTTTCCAGAGACTAATAAATATATTTAAGGAAATGAACTGTCAGTCTTCATAGTAGGTATTAAATCCCACCTCAGTAATTCAAGCTGGCATGGGGTAAATTTGTTTCCTTTTATAAAACTTTTGTTACCTAACTATACTATGTGCATATGTTTGTTGCTCTCCATTGAAACTCTTCAAAACCTGATTTTACTATTTATAATTTGGCACAGTACTTTGAATATGTCAGTACTATGTTGTAAAACAGAGCTGTATTTTTTGATATGTAACAATGCTTAACACTACTAATTCCCACTGAAGGAGATCAGAGATGGTATAACACTTCCTGAACAGGTGTAATTTCAAGATCTTTCTAATAAAAATGTTGTCTGTACTTAATCTTTTTCCTGTTCAATTTTGGTCACATTTAGATGTTACTTCTTTTTTACCTTTTTATCCAAAAGGTTATTTGGCATGAGAATAACTGAAAATTTATAGTGAATGTATGCAATTGCGTTGAACTTGCATGGTACTAAGGCCTATTTATGCGTGTAACCTCAGCTTCTATTAGCCAGTATCTGAATATACTGTATGTGGCCATGCTTGTAAAGCAGCTCATTTTTATTTGTTCTTGGATGGCCTCCTTTTAACATGACCAAAGTTACTGTCATATTTGGGACATTTTCTTCAAATAAAAGTTTGTACATTGTTTCCTAATGCCAACAGATCGCTTAAAACTTGTGTTTCTCGATACAAGTCCTGACATCAGAGGGAAAAAAAATTGGGGGTAGGGGGGGGGGCTAGTGTTCTAAAGATTTGAATGCAAAAAAAAAGGGGTTAGGAAGCAGTCATGTCAACATCATTGGTTTGGTGCAGGCCTGTTTCTGAAAGCTTTGGTTGTCCGGCCACCGCCCAGTCCCCGTGAAAGCGTTGGAGCTGTGACAGGGGTGAAAGGGCTGAGAGGCACGAAGGCGCTTCAGCGAGGTGTGTGACTGCCTTGTGCTGTGCTGGCTGCGGCGCGGTACGGGATTGGACTGGAAACCTCATGTTTGAATTGTAGGATTTTACCCGAATGACACAACCTCGGGGAATGGGGCGCTCGGGGCCGTTGCTACCATGACGACACCGTCGCCTTGGTACCTCAGTGTTCTCATCAGCGCTGGAGCAGAAAGCGGGCGCACGAACCTGGAGGGATGACAATGCGTCCGGCCGCACCCGCGCCGCTCCTGCAGGCGAACGCTTTAAGCGCAGCCCCGGGAGCTGGTGGGCAGCGGGTCCCCACCGCCGCCTCCCCCAAACCCGCGGCTCCACCTCAGGGCCGCTTCCGCCACCGGCGGGACCGCCCCATCGCGTCGTGTGCGTCACCCGCCTGCCCCCGCCCCATTGGCCGCGAGCCGCGGTCTCACTATCCTCACTCCACCCCTCCAGCCAATCGCGGCGCGGGAGCCTCAGCTCTGGCCCCGCCCCCGCCCGCCTGACCCTGCGCCGCCGCCCCCAGCCGACCAATGGGCGACGCGCCGGGCGGTGCCGCCCGGCCAATGGGCGGGCGCGGCCGGAGAGCGGGCGGGCCCGGCGGGTGTTATTGCTCTCAGGGCGCTGCTGCCGCCGGTGGTGCCGTCGGTGCTTCCGCAGCCGTCACCAGGTGAGGGGCGAGGGCGGCGGGCGCGGCTCTGCTCGGACCAGGCGATCGGGGGGGGTGTGCCAGGCGGGCTGCGCAGCTCCTGCGGGGTCGCTCCCGGCTGAACGCGGGTGCCGCCGGGCGGGCGTCTCCCCTCGGCGCTCCGCGCGCGTGGGAGGCGTGTGCCCGCGTCTGTCCGCTCCCTCACAGGGCGCGGCGGGACGGACGAGCCT